ATACCAAACTTCGCACTAAACCCTATGTTCTTCTGTGTTTGCATTCAGTGCACTTAAGTGACACAGAAGGAGCCCTGGGCGGGCAAGCGCAGACCAGGACTGGCCCAGGAAGTGAGGAGGAGGAGGGCAGCCTGGTGTTGTCTGATGCCGCCATCAGTGTACACCAGGAGAGCATGCAGCAAACACTCCTGTCTTTTTATTAACCTGTGTGGACCTTTTCATTTATTTAAACCAAATCACGGGGCCAGGGATTTAGCTCAGTGGTTTCGCCACTCGATTCTGGTACCAAAACAAAACAAAACAAAATAAACCTAATCACAATAAAAGCGAAATAAAGGGGCAGGTATGTGAACATTTCTGTGTTATAGTGGTTTATCCAGGTAAGTACAGATGCACATAAAAAAGGAGCAGCCCACAGAGCCCTTGGGGAGACAGCCTCTTATCATTAGGAACTTCAGCCTGCTTTTCCTGGAAGGTTAGAAAACATCTGGCTCACCAGAGCAGCCTGTTTCACAGTCCCTTCATTCAGTTTACTGATCCTTCAGTCTACTCTGTGTGACACACAAATAATGAGCAGGGACAGGGCAGCCTGCTCTCCCGATAGTACTGTACTGTCTGCTGGTGAGTAGCCATAAAAGTGTCAGGGCCTGAGGATGTGGCTCAGAGGTGGAGCACTTGCCTAGGATGCTCGAGGCCCTGGGTTCGTTCAGTTCTCAGCACTGAGGGGTGCAGGGCTGGCACAGGTAATGCTTTGGCCTACAGTTAGCATTAATATGGATTCAAGCATCCCTAACTGCGGAAAGCCAAAATGCTCCCAAATCAAAACTCTGTGAGCACCAGTATAATGTCACAAGTGGAAAATTCCACACCACAAAACGTTTTATGAACAAAATTATTAAAATACTGTATAAAATTAGCTTCAGGCTATGTGTATAAGATATATATGAATTTGTGTATAGACTTGGAGCCCAACCCTAAGATACCTCATTATGTACATGCAAACATTCCAAATCTGGAACACAGTCCCAGGCATTTCAGGTAAGGGTTGCTCAGTGTGTACTCCTCTTTGGAAAGGTTGTTTAGACTTATGTAGGATTTGGGGGAAGAACTCTGATCCTGAAGGTGATCCGCACATAAGATGACTGGCTAGGCGTACCCCCTTGCTCTTCCACAGGGGCAGCTGTAAACTATTACGAAAACCAAATCAGATGATTATAGTTTTTAGGTTTGCTTTGAGAACAGGCTCACAAGTACTAGATCTTAGATTGTTTCAGAAGATCGTAAGGGGTGGCACTGAACTTATGTCCACAACTGTTCTCTGTAAATATGTTTTAGAAAATTAGCCTTACTGCATTGTGGTAGTGCAATGCAGAGCTGATCCAGCCACTGTAATCAAGCAGCCTCTTCCCCAACACTGGTGAGCATAGAGGCCGCTCTGCATAGCTGGTGCTCAGCCTGGCCACTGACCAATCTGAACTCAGGCCCTGGTGCTCACAGATCTGTGGGTCAAAGCCAAAGGGTACGGACCTGCTCCAAGCAGTGTAGCCTTTGAAAACCCATCTCTGTCCAAGTCAGATGGACCCTCGGATCTGGACCTTAGACCTGAAGTCAGATATAAAAGTTTATTTTGTTTTGAGATGGGGTTTTGCTTGAGTTCTTGGTCTCACATGGTCCTCCTGCCTCAGCCTCCCGAATAGCTGGGAGTACAGAGGTGCACCAACATGCCCAACCAGCAGTTCTGTTCTGGTTTCGAGTATTCAGACCCACTATTAGCAGGGATGAATTGGTTTTGGCAAATCCCTATGAGATTGGAGCAGATTCCTCGTAGAGGAAGGGCTTTTTGCACTGAATTCACTAGGGTTTGTAATCATGCTATTGGCCTTAATTTTAGCGTGAATCAGAGTTGAATGCAGTGTCATCTGGAATCATCTGATACATCCACCCTTTGATCTGTTTTCCTTATTAGTAATGGCACAACTGTTACAGGAGATAACTCACTGATGTCAGGTTAGTTAATATTTGGCACCTGCTTTCCTGCAGATTAAAGTTGAAGAGTCGCTAGGCCCCAGAAGAGGGTGATCATTTGTATTGCCAAATGCTACTTTTTGGCTGGAGTTGGCCACCAGAACCTGTTACGCCGGGTCTTAGAAGTTGAACAGAACCTGAAGTGTGGATGGGTCTCCCCATTTTGAGCACCCCCATCCACTGTTGGGAAAGGCACCTCCTGCTTGGCCTCCTGCCCTGGAGTGCCCAGCACAAGCTGTTCTTGGAATCTGCACCAGCTTTTTCCTCCGCAGTTGGTATTATGTTGCCTGTGTTCTGTGATCCCCTTGTGACCCCTACAATCCTGAACACCGGGAGTCTGGATTATAAAGTGGTTTTGAAATAGTTTGCTCCCTCTCTCTTTGAATTGATGGTAGTTAATTTGGAGAAAGAGGGCTGGCGATTTAGCTCAGTGGTTCCCCCACCTGCCTCGCAAGCAGAAGGACCTGAGTTTGCTCCCCGGTACTGAAAAACAAATTTGGAGAGAAAAAAACAGGTCTCTTGTTCTGGGCTGGGGACGTGGCCCCGTGATAGAGCACTTGCCTAGCATGTGCGGGGCCCTGGGTTCCATCCAGCCCTGCGGGGCCGGGAGGTGTGGGTGATAGGTCTTGTTCCTCAAGCCACCTTTCTGTACCAGTTTAACATGAGCCACTCCAGTATGCCACTCTTTGGGTAAAAGGGATTAGCATTTTTCTTCATGAAAGGCACATGCCCTCCTTAGTCATCACACTGAATGGTCCAAAGACTGGGACACTTGAGTGGAAATCTGAAAGTACACAACTTTATTCCTCCCTCTGCCACATCCATGGAACCCATTTTATTTATCTGTTAAGGGGGAAGGTACACCAGCTCCAGCATAGCCATGTATTCCTTTCCGCAAGTATTGCAGACAGTCATAAGGCTGTACCTGCTTAAAAAGCCTGTAGGAAGTGTAGAGCTTCGGACTAGAAAGCAGTGAAAAGAATAAAGGGGGAAGTTTTCATGGAAAACAAATGCTGTTTGCTTTTCAGGTTTTCATTTCTCAGTGCATTTTTCCTGTGCAGACTGGCTCTGAATCTTTTGGGAACCTAAGCTGCTGTCGCTCTCCTGGTCATTCTGGGTGCATGAATGCTGTCCGGAGTGCTGAGTCAGAGCAGCTGCCTGTGGTGCCTTGCTTCCCACCTCCTGCCAGGCCCCACACGGTGGAGTCTGAGAGCCCTTTGCCACCCCAGCCCAGCCTTGGCTGAGCCAGTGGGGGCTGTGGCTGCTGAGATAGTTGGCAGCTGGCAGGTGTGTCGCATTTTGGCATCTCACACACCACCTGCTCTACTCAGTGGTGCTGTGCCCTCGACGGGCCAGCTCACCTTGCTGGCTGGAGATCATGCATGTCTCGGAACACGCTAAGTGCTGTGTAGCACCAGTCACATAGTTGATGCTCTTTCACGCTGGCTGCCCACCCTCCCTGTCCACCTACCTCTTCAGGGTGTTTTACTCAGCAATTCCACCAAGCAGCTAGAGACATACTTCCTGTTTTGGGGGTCTTCTACAGGGCAGGGGGCAAAAGCAGTCTCCATGCATGCCCTCCACTGAAGAACCTGGGGAAACTGTAATCTCATACTCCCCATTCATGGCGGTTTTGGCCTCTGCAGGGGCATTTTTCTTAGAATACAGTTTGTCAGCCTCCTGAGCCAGCCATTTTGTGTCTGCTCCTAGAACCTTAAATCTGTATTGGATTTATGGAGGGCAGCTGACGTGGCAGGAAGAAGAGCGACGCAGGGTCTCCTGGTGAGCTGGTGCAGGCCAGGAAGCAGTACCCAGCCTCCCCTCCCAGGTGTGCGTGTCTACACCCACTGCCATGGAGCTGGGGGCGTTGTGTGCCTCCAGCTAACACCCCCACAGAGCCCTGCAGGCTCTCCTGGGGCCTCGGGGCTGCGTCCAGATGGGTGGCATGATCCAGTCTCCAACCTACACAGCGGTTTACAGACCTGGCTTTGGAAGGGTGATTGTTCCTGTGACTGGGGAGGAAGGTGTCAAATACTCCAGGCTGTAGTCTGAGAAATACCTGTTTTCAGTTATGAATTCAACAGGTCCTGGTGTCGGCACATCTCGTGTCTCCTTACTAAAAAGAAAAGTAAGACCGTGAAGCCTTTTCCATGTAGCCAAGTGGCATAGAAAGTGCCTTTGGGCTAGACATGGTACTGCATGGCTGTAATCCCAGGACTCACTCAGGCTGAGCCAGGAGGATCACCATGAGTTCCAGACCAGCCTGGGCTACATAGTGAGTTCAAGACCAGCCTGAACTACAGTGAGACCCTGTCTTCCCCCCCGGCCCAAAAAAATGCTTTTAGGAATGGGGAAGAACTCTTATGGGGTGGCAAGATAGACCAAAACAGTGCAGTTCCTCAGACTTGGTTTTGAGTCCTTTCTCTGCCTCTTACCAGCCTGACCTTGAACACGAATTAGTGGTGCAGAAACTGGGCGTCTCTTGGGGATATGATAATGCTCACCTGACTTGCAGGGCAGAGGCGAAAATTGAAGATAGCAAAGGACAGCGTCCAGAGCATGCACGGTCCCTGGCACTGGGTGGATAGTCGCTGTTTCTGCCACGTTGTCTTCGTTACATCCTACCCAGCAGTAAAAGTGGGGCCTCCTGAGTGGGAAGGGTGAGGCATTGTCATGAAGCAGGAAATAGGAAACCATGGCCACGTTGGTGGGGAAGGCTGGCACCAGCTGGTCAGCATGTTGCGAGATGAGCAGTGTCTCCGGCCACCTGCTCTTGGGTGGTGATTCGGTGAGAAGTTCAACTTTGAAACGTCCTGACTCTTGGTCTGCTGAGGTTGTAGGACAAGGGCAGCCTTGGACCTTGTCTGTGACTGAGATGATGTCCTGCTCCCTGGGGACTGTTAGAGCCTCTCTTGGTTTGGTTGTCAAGTTGCACTACTGTGTTGCTGTCACTGACTGTCTTCGCTCTCTTCCAGGGGCTCCATGGGCCTTACCCCTTCGGCCAGTCTTAAACGGGTGTCAGCAAGAAGAAAAATTAACAGAAGGCCCGACTTTGGGGGGAGGGCAGGGGGTTCCTCTGGATTGCAGACCACGCCGCACGGACCCTGCTCTGCCTCCCATCCCAGAAGAGGAGGAAGCAGCAGAACAGACTGGTTGGAGTGGACTCAGTGTGCATGTGTGAATGCCGATCGCAGGGATGGTCTTGAGGCTACCAAGAAATCCATGCAGCCACCTTGGGTTTTGTTCCTTAGTTGTCAGTCTGAGTCATTGGGTCCCTCGGGAAAGGAAAAAAAGTTTTAAATGGGGGAAAATAAGCCATCTTTGTAAACAAAAATGATTTTGCCTACAGAGGTTGTAGTTCTGAGCACGTTAATTTTTCCTCTCCTCCCCCTGTTATTTTTTAATGAGGGCAGGATACTCTAGAACACTGCTTGCTCTGGAAGCAGTCGGCATGGCGTGCGGGCTTCTGTGGGTCGGTGCCGTGCCACATGCCGCCAGAAGGCTGGACCCGTTTGTCCCTAAAGGCATCAGCCAGTGAGTTCACCCTTTCTTCCCTTTAATCCTCTGTTGATTTACACCTTTGACATTTGTATGTGTTGGCCCTGTGGCTTGTTAACCTCTCTGAAGACCAGGCTTCCCTGTGCGGCACAGAGGGAGCCTTGAGGACAGGTCTCGGTAATGGGTTTCTGAGGCAGAGAGGCGCCTTCTGCACATGCCCATCGCATTCCGATTGCTCTCCTTGCGCATCTCTCAAGCCGAGGGAAACGCTGCTTACTGTGCTCCCCGCTCTGCACAGCTCCCAGGTGCCCCGGGGGTGGTGCTGCCACACTGCACACCCAGCCTCCGCACTGGGAGGTGGCCGCAGCTCACTTCCAGCGTGCAGCAGGCGGGCCAGTGAGAGGTATCCCATGCTTCTTTCTCTGCTGTCACACTACTCCTGCCCTCTCTTTCCCTGCAGTCGTCCTTTGTGGTGTTTTCACAGCCTGTCAGTGGAGGCTGATTTATAGATACGGAGATACAGCCCCAAGCCTGGAATTGGTCATGGGGAAGGCCACGGTCACCACTGGGCCTTGGAGACCACATTTAGATGGAGGCAAGACCCCACCCCAGCAGGACGCCCAGGCTTTGGTGGAGAGGTGGGCAAGGGCAGCCCCACTGGAGCAGGGGCTCACTGCTCTCGGGCAGCAGGTCGAGGTGTGGACGCCTCCATGGGAAGCTTGAACCAGGATAGAACAGCTGTCTGCCAAAGATACAAGATATGCAAAGTCCCTCTTTTCTTCTTGCCAGGGGTGTGGCTCAGGGGTGCGGTCCAGGGGCCCCTGCCTGTGACCACACCCCCATCTGCACTGGGGGTGGGTGGGTGAGAAAAGCAGGGCGTCCAGGGGATGAGGGGCTGCAAGGGTCCTGTAGCCTGGGTGTGGGTGAGGGTCTGCCTGTCTGTCTGTTTGGGTGTCTGAGTTCCAAAAGATGTATGTTGTGTTCCTCCTCATCTCCTCTGAGACTGTTTTTAAATGTTTGATTGTAGGTGAGAACCTTGTATGAATTCCCCCTTCACTTCTCCACTCCCAGAAAACAAAAGGGGAATAAACTTAGTTCGCTCCAGAAGCCTTGGACAAGAATGGAGTCTGCCACGGAGAAAGGCCTGCGGCTGGGGCTGGACTGGGGCTTCCCTGGAGCACCTATTTTCTATGCACACAGTACCCCATTCCTAGCAGAGCCGAGGGGAGCTTTCTGGGTGCTGCACCACAGGTCTCAGGGTGGCTTTTTGTTTCAAAGTCCCTTTAGACCCATTTTGCTGCTGCTGCTGCTGCTCCTGGTGCCAATCCCCTAGGACACTGCCACTTGGAATGCACATGTGGCCCCTCTTCTGCTTGCTAGCCTTGAAGCAGTGCCATCTCCAGCTGCCCCTGGCAGAATCCTGGGCGGCTTTCCACCCCACTTTCCTGCCTTCCCTGTCTGGCCCACACTGGTGCCCTAACCTGGGTTCCCAGCAAGGGCTTCATTGGCCCTTGCTGCCAGACCTTCAGGCCGGACCTGCCAGAGTTGTCCTGCTCCTCTTGCTTGTAGGCAGCCTCACCTGGCGTCCCAGGTACCGTGCTTCCTTCCCGGAGACATCTCTGCACATCTGTGGAGAGTTGTTGCTGCAGGGGGCCAGAGCAGGCGCAAGCTTTGACCGATCGATGGCTTCGCCAGGGCTGGAGGAGGGCGTTGGCACCGTTAATTCTTTCTCCCTTGTAGGGTCTGAGCAGTGCCTGGCGCCCCTTCCTCCCCTGTCTAGTGGAGTGGTAGAGGCCACCTCTGAGCCCCAGTAGTCCCTGCTCCCCAGAATGCTCATGCGCAGCAGGCCACGTCTGGGCAGAACCCCCAGCATCTGGCACCCTGGAGGTGAGCCAGGCACCGTCCTTGGGTGACAGGGCCTAAACCGAGTTGGGAGATGGAGGAGTGCAGTCCAGGGAAGATCCTGTCTGTGTGCACGGAGTGTGGGGTGTGTGTGTGGATGTGTGTGCACGTGTGCATGCCAGTTTTCTTTTTGGTGTGGGACGGTTGAATTTGGGGCGTTTTCCTGTAAGAAACAGTTTCTCTCTCCTAGCAAGGACTGGCTGTAGCCTACACCTGTCAAAGGCACATCGTGCCCAGAGAGAACTCACTGAGCAGGCTGGTGGCCTGAAGGCTGCCCAGGTGGGAAGTGGGTGAGAGAATGAACCCTCCCCAAATTCAGTCTGAGCCCCAGCAGGAGGGCCAGGCAGGGTTGCTAGGGCTCAGGCACAGCTGATCCCACCCCGCCTGCCATGTGTCACCTTCCTTCCTTCCCTTTGTCCTGTGGTTGCGTGCGGGCATGGTAGTGCTGCCCCTTCCACCTGGACAGCGGTGTGTGTGGCAAGCTAGCTGGTGGGTGCCTGTGGTGGGGCCTCATGGTGCCTAGGAGGAGATGAAGATGAGGTTTTCCTTACTGTGTAAATGAATATTTGTATGATTAAATTAACACACACAAAAACTTGCTGCATGTGTGTCTGTTTTCTTGCACCCTAAACCTGCAGTGACCTGCGGGCCCCCACAATGGCTCTGTGATGTTCACTTGCCGTCTCTGGGTCTTTCCCTCTTGCCAGTGGGAACAGACCACGAGTTCATTGTATTTGGGGGAAATGAGTCCTGGGATTACAGTTGGATCTGGTGCCTTGCCCAGTGCCTGGCGACTAGAAGGTGGCCTTGGGTCACTAGAGTGCTTTGCCTCCGTTGGTCACCACGCCGCCCCTGAACATAAAAAAGAGCGGCCACATTGGTGCTTCTCACCCAGCAAGCATCACGGGCACGCGGGACAAGGCAGAGCGACGTGAACATCCTTCCTCTTGGGAAAGCAGGCAAGCTGGCAGTCGGGGGAGCCCCCATTCCCAACTGGACCCCCAGCTCCTGAGGTTTAGAAGAGCACATTTTAGTGTTTCCAGGGTGGCTGGGCATAGTTACTGTGAGCCCTCCTGGTTTAGGGTGGCCCGGGAACCTGAGGCGGCTAAACCGCAAACCTTCCAGGCATCTTCACAAGGCGGCTGATGACCTTGATGGGGCAGGAAGCAGATGTTACTAATCAACCAGTATGACGGCAAGTGGGTTTACTGGCCGCCTCTCCAAATGAGCTCAGATCTCACCGCGTCACCGCCCGGGTGTGTTGTATTGTAGGTGACGTCAGAGGGGAGGGCTCCGCCTGAGCCTCAGGTCAGTGGCTGAGGCAGGCTGGGACCTGTTGCAGCCTCTCATCTACAGAGTCCTGAATTGGGCCTTCTGCCTCCCTGGCAGAGCTGTGTTCTAAACGATGGCTGTGGGCTAGGGAATTGTGTGTAGGAGTGGGCAGGGGTGGGGATCTCGGCCACCCATGTAGACGTCTCGGTGAGGGGATCTGGCCAGGCCACACGGGGCCCTGGTCCCTTGCTTGAAGGCCTGAGTAAAGACTCAGCAGCCTGGTGCAGCCCAGGGAGGAGCCTATGAGACCCTGGGGCAAGCGTCCTTGACCCGTGACGGCAGCTGCATCCTGCTTCCTTCCAGGCACCTGCAGCTGTTTGTTCTCTGCAGGAGAGGGCCCTACCCCATCGCTGGGTCCCTGGCAGCACCGACCCACTCCCAGACCGTCCCCGACACCCCTTCTGCTGGACAGGTATTTGCTTGGCAGAATCTGTTTGTCTTTGGGGCTGTAACCTGTCAAGAAGTCACCGGGCCCTGAGCGAAGGGAGCAAGTTTGGTGGTAGCTGCTGACCTGAGCCATTCCCACGGGGGCTGGGTGACAGGGCGGGGGGGCTCTCAGCTGATCTGGGGAGGGGCACCTGCAGGGGTCCGGCCCTCCTGGTGGAACAAACAGGTGCTTCACACCACCTCCCGGGCAGCTCAGGTTGTAGCATGTGCCACCCACCCTGAGAAGGCCCCTCCCTCGGCCGCCTGCTGTGACCCAGTGTTTCCCACACACCACCCAGGGTCCAGCCCTGGCCACTGCCAAGAGAACAGGCCCCAGGCATGCTTGTTACTGCCCCCTCTTTGAAAGATGGGAGGGGAGCAGCAGTGGGTGAAGGGCTCTGGGCGTTGGTCTCCAGGAGATGGAGACTAGCTAGTTCAGTAACCAGGACCACATCCTCTGTAACCCTTAGTTCTGAGATGCTGCAGTCGGGCAGTCTTGACTGAACTTGAACATGTTAACATGGAGGTTCTGATTTACCAGGTCTTTCAGGTCGGTGGGTGCCGGGGTCAGCGTGCACAGTGCTGTGTGAGGGGCAGCTGCATTGGCCACGCCTGCAGGCATTGGAAGGAGCCGGCGTCCTCTGGAGCAGTGATGATCAGGGTGGGCTGTGGCTCATCCAGGCTGTGACCGCTGAGCGTGCCCACATGCTGCTCTCCTGTCACACAGCACACATCAGTGTCCACTGTCATCACGGGAACACTGGCTGACCATCACTGGCAAACTCCTATTAAATGATCAGTGTGCGGGAGCCACCTCATTTCATCCATAGCCATCAAGGCAAGGCAGCCTGGGGCAGCCAGGCCTGCCACACAGTTTGTGAGCGACCATTACGTTTCACAAGGCCCGTGAAGTGGGAGAGCAGGTGCTGGGGGAGATGGGTAAGGGACCTGAACTCAGGAGCACCTGGAGGCTTTGAGGCAGGGGAGACGGGCTGTGGTCAGGGGAGCGTGGTAGCTGGAGGCCTAGGAGATCTGCGTGGGTGAGGAGCACACCCTCCGGGGACCTGTTTTTCTGAATCTCAGGGGGAGGGGGCTCTGCAAGCCCTGTCACCCTCGGGGAGGCACCAGCCTGGGCAGCACTCTGCCTGGGGCCCTTCTCGGTTCCTATTTATTTATTGAACATCATTTGTATGCTTCCTGGAGCCAGGGACAGAGCAGTGACCAAGAAGAGAAGCCCTGCCCTCGTGGAGCTGCATTCAGACATAGAGGTGACAGGTCACGAGGTCGGTGCTCCAGAGAGGAACAGAGCAAAGGACTGGCATGTGGAAGGAGTGAGATTAGTATTTCACACAGGAAAGTCAGGGAGGCCTATGCAGATCAGGGGAGGAACACTCCAGGCTAGGGGAACAGCAAGTGCAGAGGCCCTGGGGAGGAGGAGAGAGATGGTGAGAGACGAGGGGTCGATGGTGGGGCTGAGCAGCATTGGCTTCCATCAGGAGATTGTGAGCTGCGGAAGCAGCACCCCCAGCAGTGTACCTTACAAGTTCCCTGGCTGCAGGCTGAAAATGATTGCAGGGGGAAAGAGCAAAAGCAGGGAAGTGGTTCCCAGAGTGTGAGGAGAGGCAGCCACTCCTGAGATTTGGGCCTGAGCCCTAGAACTGCTGCCTAGACGAGTTACTGTTACCTAAGACCCCAAGACTGAAGGAGCGGCTGGAGGGCAGAAGCACCATCCTCCCAAGGTCAGTCTGGGGCAGGCACAGAAGAGGGCTGTAGCAGAGACCCCGCCGGGGCCATGCCCACCTGCACCAAGCCCCAAGCCCTGGTCAAGACACTGGAGACCCCCACTTCCCTCAGCTCCCCCCTGCCCCAAGCGATCCAGGGACAGGGAGGGATGGCAGCTGAGCTGTGGGAATCCTCTCAAAGCGCTGCGCTGTGACTCCCTCAGCTGGGCAGTGTGCTCCTGAGGCCAGCAGAGGGCGCTATGTGGCCCAGGCTCATTTGGAAAGGACAGATGGACAGAGGGCTCCAGGCATGTTGCCTCTGCTCTGGGCTCCGGGCTGTGCTGCTTCTAGGCTGAGTGGCTGTGGAGTTGATCATGGCCTAATGTGTAAAATGAGAACAGTTCTAGAGGTGCCATGAGAATTACACCACCATAAAAATGTTCAGCGTTGTCCACAGCCACATGGTGACTATCCAGTATGTGGTGACCTTGTTACTGTTCCGGCCTGCTGGGTGTGACCTGGGCCCCAGGACAAGGCACCTGGGGCTGCGCATTTGGGAGGCAGTCTGCCGTGCCTGCAGCCTGCACGGGGTCTGCCCAGCCAACTTCCCAGTGAGTACATCTTGGTTTGGGTGGGGGTTTGGATGCTGGGAAGACCAGGGCCATCCTGGAAGAGGCCTGGACCCTGCTTTCCTGTTGGAACAGGCTGAGAGAGGAGGCTTGCTCAGGCAACTCGGCACGCTGGCTTGATGGCGTGGTGGTGGACAGTGCCCAGCCCGGCTCTGCCACCCGACGGGGCAGGGGCTCCTGGAGAGGGGGCACAGGCGAGCCTGCTGTTGTGAATGACAGCCCAGGAACCCATGCCTGAGAACTGGTTCAGCCGCTGTGGTTTTACCACTTCCGAGGGTGGGGTCCAGGGCTGACACGTCTGCATCCAGGTGGCAGAAGGAGCCTGGTCCATGCCAGAGCCAGCGATGGAGGCCAGGCCACAGTGGGCACGGGGGGTGGTGTCCACACAGCCAGCTCTCACTTCCGACTGTCCTCTTGAACTCATACCTCGAAGTTTCCTGAGGGTTAAGTGCAGAGCACCAGAGGCCCATGCCGGGCACCGAGGAGAGGTGCAGACTGGGGCAGCTGCAGCCTTGTCAGCTGGGAGGGCAACCTTCATGTTGAGCCACTGCTGGGCCCCTGAGGTGGGTCATCCAGGCCTGATGAGACAGTGGCCCTGGAGGGGAGGTCCCTGGGGAAGTGGGCAGAGCGATCGTCCTGTACTAGTGAGCGTCACTGCCTCCCTGCCCAGGCTGCCCCGTCACCTGAGCAGCAAGGACAGCCAAGGCCCCCAGGAGAGACAGGAACCGCCTCCAGCTGACTCGTCCCCAAGCCCGCCTGCCAGGCCTGGAGGTGCGGGGTAGGGGTCCATTTCCCCGGGAAGGCAGCCTGGCTCTCAGGACTGGTTCCCATTGAGCAGAGAGAAATTTCCTCTGGCAGCTGTGGGGGAGGAGGGCGCAGGGCACCCGCAGCCAGGCCTTGTCTCCTGTCCCCTAGGCGGGTGTGGGGGGAGCAGGCCCTGCAGCTACCCAACCCCTGCCTCAACTGGGGTGAGGGCACTCCTGGCTCCCGGGCCCCTGGGCTCTGGGTTCGGGTTTTGCCGAGTGGGACACAGATTCAGAGGACAGAGCCCTCCAGGGCCTGCATGCTGCACACCCACGTGCTGTACTCACACTTCCTAATTGGTCACCCTATACTGAGTTTCCTCAGGAGACGGAATATCTGAATTCTGTTTTGTCCTCACAACCTTCTGGAGGAAGCACTACCTTCTGTTACATAGAGTAGAGGTCATCAGGGCGGAGCCTGCGGAATCGTCCCCCAGGCCCAGAATCGTCCCCTGCAGCACCCTCGTGTGCCCTCCCAGTACTAAATGCCGCTGTTCTCGCCACTCCAGGGGTGAGAAAGCCACATACCATCACAAAGGGTCAGAAGGCCTGTTTGTTCTTTCCACGCAGAAAGCCACAGAAAAAACACAAACTTTGTTGTCAGCCGCGCACTTACGTCCAACAACAAAGCTTGAACTGACATGCAGACTTCGCACCCTGGAGAAGGAGCTGCCCTAGAACTCC